GGTGCCTCGCAATTAGTTTAAGTGGCTTTGTTGCGCAATCACCGTTGCATTATTGCCATCATCGTCATCTTTGTCGCTGTTACGAAAACCCGTTTCATCATTTGTCTTCGTCCGGTACAGCGGTCACAATGTTATCCTGAACTTTTGCCGGCGGTACGGACTGTTGAAGCGAACGTTGCTTTTACGGAAGGGTTCAAAACCTCGATTTTGTTGGACCCAACGGTTGTGGCTCTTGGTTCTTTTTGAATAATAATAAAAAATAATTGGTAGTCGCTAAGGGTGGGGGGGGGTGGGGGGGGGCTGAACCCGTGAGACCCGTGCGGTGGTGGAAATGTGAGCGATACAGCCCGAGGGCTTTGCGGTGAAGCTGGCAGCAGGGAAGTAACTGGCTGGAGAAGTGCACGCGCGTGTACGTGCGCGTGGTTGTGGCTACGCATCTCCTCTGCCTGTCGTCTCAGTCAGTCAACCCGTAGGTGGCACAGGGGTCTGTTCCGGGGCTTCCTGCCGGCAAGCGAGCCTTCGACACTTTCACGTGGCCTCGAGGTGCACCTAGCCTGGCGCACGCTCCTTGGTAACGTCATCGCCGCTTCGTGGCGAATGGCGGCGGCGGTTGTTGTTGTTGTGCCTGCATACGGCCGCAGACGCGCATGCGCGCAAGGAGAATTCCCAGACACACACGTGGCAACTCGCACAGTCAGACGACCACGCGCACGCAGACCGCCAGCGTAATCACGCTCGCGGTAACACACGCGCACACACACAGCCCGCTTTTGGCCCAGGGAAACCGTGGAGGCAAATACCGTTAGCGAGCAGCGAGCAGAGCATGTATGCATGTATGTTGAACTTCTTTCGCCCCGTATGTAGCCAGCCGTGCTAATTGGAGATGCGGGGAGACCAAGGCGGTCGGGTTGTGGCTTTTCCGGCCACACCTCCCACTCGTGTGCCGTGCCGGCCTTCATGGCTGCTCGCTCACGGGACTATGTCCCAGCATTCCGTGTGAAGGCCGGCGGACAATCCCGGTGTGTTCGGGAGCAGCGGCGCTACGAACCCGGCGACTCGAGTTCAATTCCTGGCCACACGGCGAACGTGGTTGGCGAGCGATATCTCTCAACTGGGCCCCTCCTCTCTCTCTCTCTCTGTCCCCCTTCCCTGACCTGCGTGGGGGAAGTATGGTCGAACGACCGCCGTCACTGGACACGCTATTGGAAGGCCTTCAGCAATGGATTGAAAAACGGCTGTAAGATGTCAACACGGTGAGCCATAGATGGCACCGTGTACCATACCAAGCGCTAATGCTTTGTCTCAATTCATCTTAGGGAAGGGTTAGACTAAGTTCAGAATTAATTTATCTTCGGGTGAGAGTTACCAGAAATGTGACGCAGGTCACTGCGATCATAATGCAGTGTCCGAACCACCACTGTTGAGCGCACAAACACCACACTGTCCTGCGTGCATGCACACAAGCGCACACAATGCATTCACACACAATACACACCCCTAACCCTCTCCACACCGCCTTCCTGTCTTTAGCATCCATCATTTATTACTGACAGCTCCCGTGTGTGTTATTCCTTTGTGTGCGTCTCTCTTTAGTTGATCTCTCTCTCCCTCTCCCCAGCCTATCGCGTCTCGCCTTCTCTCCATACGCATTTCTCTCGGTTCTCTTTCACCCTTCCTCCCAAATCCTCTTGGCAAGTTTTTACTACCAGCGGTCCGAACACTTGTGGCCCACGTGTTTTGCGTCGGGCGGGCGGGCGGTCTTGAGCGAAGCTTCTTCCAAAACGCCGCTTCGGGTTGTGCAGCGCGCGAGCGAGGAGTCATGTGGACGAAATATAACCGAGCGCTCGTCTGGCACAACGTATACGACCTGGGCGTGCGTGTGTGTTTTGGGGATCTGAGGCTGTACGTACGTACGGTGAAAGTCTTTCGCACCGTACGTAACCAACCGTGCTAATCGGAGGTGTCCTCGGGGGGGGGGGGGGGGGGAAGAACAAGAAACTAAACACAACGATCAGCTCTCAAGAGAAAGAGTTTCCAATCTAGATGATGTAAAAGTGCGACGTAGCTCCACAGTGGCCTGCGAACGTCGGAAGGAAGAGCATTCTAGACGGCCGCGGAAGCGCATCTGAAAGTGCGTGAAACGTGTTTGAGTGCACGCTGCTTCGTGAGGTGGCGGGGAGGGGCGGTGGTCCTTCCTTGGCTGACCTTCTTAGGTATTTGTATGACCTGGTCACTGCATCTCATGGCATTTATCATTTGCATAATAGAGTTTTTTTTGGGTTAGATCGCGTAAATATAAATGTGTCGTTAAACCCGCCACCACCCGACACGGCCGATTGTTAAGGTTTGTCACCTGAACATCGCATGCCAAATCGTTACTGGTACAGCACACCGGTGTACTGGCGACTAAACCCACAGCATTTACATTTTGCTTAACTAGTAACGATGGCACGTCGTGATTTAATTGAGTTATTTTCATTTTATTATTTTTATTTTCACCTACGTGACTTTACCGAAAGAACCAAAGAGTATGGATCCTTGCAGTCACGAAAACTTCAAATCTAGAATGCACGATGCCACTCGCACAGACCCAGTCGTGCCGTCTGTGCCTGCCAAGGCCACTCTTGTCCACATAGGGGGGCCCTCCTTGGGGGGGAGGGGGGGGCCGCAGGAGTCCACGGCGCGTTCTTCATGGTGGGGTGGGGGCCACGCGTGTTTAATGCAGCGGGGCTTGTAGGTCCAGGTTGGTGGATCACGCTAGGATGGAGGTTCTCCAATTCACAAAGTTGTCGTGAGAGTCCCCCGGGGTGGTGTGTTTGCGTGCGATGGGAGACACCGACCATCTGACAAATCGGATGCCTGTGAAAGGAAAGTTACAGCGGGCAGGTTTCTGAGCCGTCTCTGTGGAATCCCAGTGGTTCTTCGTTCAATAGGATGGCTTCTACTGCACGCAACGTGGCTTGTTTTTCACAGGTCAATCAAAATTACTCCCGAAATTGGCCCAACATCGCAACCGTACCCTCGTGGAAAATAATTTGTGAGCCTCATTGAGGACTTCCTAGGCACGCTGTACGATCATCGTCATCATGCCGAGCATTGCGAAGCGACCGTATGGTGGAGTGTGCCTGGTTGAGCGAGCCAGTGAGTGAGTGGGGAGTGTCTTTGGTATTCAGTTATATTGTGATAAAAAAAAAAACTGCGCGTTATAGGAAGGAGTCTTATCTTGTTTGGCTGATGGGTTCCTTGTTCCCTCCCCCCCCCCCCCCCCCGTTCATTTGCATTGCATTGATTTAATTAACCGAGGCAGCAAACGCGATCTTAATTACACGCATGCCAATTCTAGTGGCCTATTTTAAATTTGTGTGCATAACACAGAGGTATAATAACTGTAACACTGCGCTCTTCAGCAGTTGCTTAAGCTGCAGCTGCGGCGTGCCGATGAGTGCTAAGCGTGCGAATCTATTTGCACGTTGCCCCAAAGGTGTAATTATTTTTCAACAAGTGCGATTTTCCCTTGCGCTCGGGCCCTTTGATTTGCGTGAACACAGCACCCTGTTGGCGTTAACTGTTCTGCTCTCGTGCGTGGGTTTTGTTTATATCACTTGTCGCAGCAGCCGCCCCTGCCTCTTGAGTCATCCCCTGCGCCGTCTCCGCACTCAGAATCAGAATCGGAATATTTATTTGTACTGCAGGAGGAATCCGATGAGCCATAATGCTCTTTGTCACTGACGTCGAGTAGGGGCGGTTGAAGGGCGTTACAACAACAAACGGTACAAAAACACGATAGGAGTGCAAAGTACAAGCAAGGTAGACGGGGAGAGGCGACCCATCGCACGTTCATCAGTGGCCACCGAGCCGGTTAAACATCCGCACGTGTACACCTGTTAATTAGTTTTCTTTTCTTTGCACGATGCATCCTTTTATGACTTGTGGTTGGAACAGGTTCAGAGCGGGCCCCTTGAAGGGCGGCCTTGAATAATTGAGGCGGCCGCGGTGTTCCACTTGCAAACGAACGCCGACGGACGCGCCGCCGGTGCCTTTAATTAAGCCACTTGTCCCCTTCCGCATGCTGCACGGCGATGCGCGGTTTTCCGTAAAGTTTCGATTTAAAGCTTTCGTGACTGCAAGGATTCATATTCTTGGTTCTTTCGGTAAAGTCACGTAGAATGGAAATAATAAAATAATAAAAATAAAAACATTATATAATAAAATTCTCACGACGTTTCGGCCACAATGCAAGCAGCCGTCCTCGGGTGAAGAAACAGAGCTATCGGAAAGACAGCGTGTCCCAGCTCCTCCCTCGAGTTGAAAAGCGGCGTACATTCCGCATCGGTGGGGGCCCTCGCGACCTGCTTTAGTAATCTCTTGGGCGCCGCGCTGCCCACTGGCCTCTGGAGCTGGTGGCTGCGTGGCCGCTCGGCCCTCGTTGGATGCCCCCCTCCTCTTGGATGCCCTGCTCTTGCGTGCGTTGGCTGCGCTATGTTCGGGAGCTCGGTGCCAATGTCGAGGTCTGCTGCTGGTCACGACGAGAGGGCTTCAGAAAAGAGTTGGTGTCGTTTCCCTCCCTCCCTCCATTGCAGGAGAGCTGACTACGGTGGCTCACCGTACGGTCCTAAGCGCCAATGGAAAATTTGAGAAAAGCCGCAGTGCGATTGTGGATGCACCTCGAGTGCATAAACATCGAGGCGTGAACCTCGCAGCTCACCGATAACACGTGGAACAAGTTTTATTTGATGCACTTCATTGCTCTAACTTTCGCCGATTTCGTGGGCACGACAGTTATAATCGTGATCGAGAGGAGCTTAATCATCCGTGTTGACACATGCTGTTGAAGCCCGTTGTTAAAAGGCGTCGCGTTGCAGTGGCTACGTTGACAGGCACTGTGGCTGCCGTAGTGGTGGTGGTGGCGGCGCTGACAAAGGTGTCGTGAAAGGCTCTGATGTCGCTGACTTTATCCGTGTGTGTGTGTCTCTCTCTCCTTCCGTGTGTCGCTTTCACAGCTTGTGAAGAGAGGAGTGCCAGTGGCCCTTGGGCAGCCAGTGCCAATCAGTCCAGCCCAAGCTTCGACTCGTCCAGGGTAAGACTTCTCTTGTTGATGGTCAGTGGCGGCAGTGCGGTCGGCATTGGCCCAGGTGCATTTAACGAAATGGGTGCCCCGGCCCCCCCAGACCCCAACCCGCCCCCACCCTGTCTAATTTTCGTGGCCGCCACCAGGGCCTCTCCTCCGGCCCCCGGCGGTGCAGTTGCACCGCCCGCACACTCGCTAGCTACGCCGCTGTCCATGAGAGCGGCGGTGGACGATTCAAACGGTGGCCGCAGACTCGACGCACGTTGGGTTGCCTTCCTCTTCCAGGCACCCTAGGAAACTCATAATAATTATTAATGTATTCATAATTTTTATGAACGGTAGTTGGGACTCCCTCCCCCACCCCACACACCCTCAGGAGTGGAGGGGTGCGCGCCCGCCTCGTACCCACGCGATCGCCTCGTGCCACGCGACCCTCCGCCGTCACCTCCCGAGCGTGTTGTTGTTTTCTGGGACCGGAAGATTTGAGTGCTCTGCACCTTTTAGGAATTTTAGCGGCTTCCTGAAGTCCCCCGCGGCCAGGAGGACAGCCGCCGCAGGGTCCACTTTTACAACGCAGCGCTCGCGGGAGTCGCCTGTCACGGCTGCACCTCGCCCCGGTTTAGCGTCGTGGGCTTTAAGCGCGACGGCACCTGCACGGGAGGTTGCGAGGAACGAGTGCGGGAGGGGTCGGCTCTTGAGAATGCGAGCGGATCTCGTGCCTCCGCCAGCCGGGGCGCGTCTTGGGCAGTGTGCCCCAGAGGTCGCAAACGGGTTTTGATTCCTTACCCGTACCCATACCCGGCCGCACCAGGGTCGCAAACGGGTACCCGTACCCGTACCCGGCCGGGTACGGCTACCCGTTCCCTACCCGAAATGAGTGACAAACGGTTACTCACCAGTGACTCACAGCCTACCCATACCCGTACTCGGCCGCACCAGGGTCGCAAACGGCTACCGGGTAGGGTACGGGTATCGGGTACCCGGTTGCGACCTCTGGTGTGCCCGGTGCCCACCAGGAGCTGCGCGGGCCCCCTGGCGATAGCCAGGCCGTCAGCGCAGGGCAGGCTTGGGCCTCCCTCCTGTTGGGCCGCCAGCGCCGCTGTTGTGAGTCGGCGTACTCGACGCGAGGGGATTTTGCTTAAGACCTGGAGTAATTATCCCATCGATATAATTATCATTGTCAACCTCATCGGAAAACATTCTGAACGCATTGCCGTTTACATGAAGGGTGGTCCCTCCCACCCGCGCCATGTCGACACAAATGCCTGAGGACGCACCGAGTGTGTTTAAACGAAATGCTACTCGCAAACAAAAGCGTGGAGGGAGTGTCGGGGGGGGGGGGGGTGAAGGGGGGTGCCGGTCTCCACTTAATTCCGCCAAGATTTACACACGGCTGACGTGTTAAGTGGGGTTGCCGACCGTCAGTGTTTGACCAGGAGAGTGCGGGGATTGCCCGCTGCAGAAACAAAGCGACTGGGATGGGCACGGCGGCGTCTGGGTTGCGGGCCCCGGGCCAATGGCCATTGCCCAGATTTTTCGCCAAACAATGGGCACGCTGGCCGCGCGCTCCGCTCTCTCTCACCCGTGCCCACCCAGCCCTCTCAAGCCTTCCGCCTCATCACTTCAATAACTCACCCCCCCCCCCCACCCCCCCCTCTTTCTTAACTTGCTCCGGTGCTCTCGCACTCCTTCCAGCTTGTTGTGGGTTGTCCAGGCCTGACGGAGCCCAACAGTTCCAAACCTCTACGATTAAAGACTTCACAGAAATTTAAGACAGAAATTAATCCAAAAGTCAGATGTGGGCGGCCGCGTTGACCCCCTCCTCGTGGCGACCTCCGCGTCCTTAGCCACAGCCTCCCGGAGACGGCGATCGGGGGCCTCGCCTTGGCCATGTGCAGAACGCACACTCGCACGCAGGGGGCTGACGGTCCACTTGAGCGACAGTTTGGAGTTCCTTTAAATGTGTGGCGTTTATCTCCGGCTGACGACGGGTAATTGTTTCCGTCCCATGCCACCGGTGCAATCTTATTGTGGCGAGCCAGGGTTTCGGGCACCTCCTGGACGTCTACGGGAAGGGAGTTTTACAACATTCATCTGGTGATCCACCTACCCCCTCGCTGCCTCCACAGTGGTGGATCGGAATGAGATGAATTATCCATTGACATTGTACCGGTGGCCAAAAGTATGGAGTAGAGAAACGAGCTATTACCAAGGCACATCAACCTCACGTTAAATGTGTAATGAGCAGGATTTTTGTTAAGGGAGAGAGAGAGTGTGGAGACTTAGTGAGGCTGCTCTGGGTAAGTGAGTTGTTACGGTTATTCTCTGGGGTGCAGCAGTGATGTGTACACATCCTTCTGCAGCAGTGATGTGTACACATCCTTCTGCACCACGTGTGCATGCATGTGGAAGACCGACTGCAGGAGTTTCCTGCTTGCGGCCTTGGCTGTGGTTTTTTTTTTCCATCGCAGCAAAGGTGGCATGCAAGCAAGACTGCACGTTGCATATAAAAAAAACATCATACGGGTGTAAAGGGTGGTGGCGAGTTTAACGACACATTTATATTTCCGCGATGTAACTCAAAAAACCTCTTGTGGCTCATATTGGATGCGAAAGGCCTACGTGTTAAATGGGCGAAAAGGGTGTCTGACGTGAAACAGTGGCGAGGCCTGTTCATCCTCAACCGCCGATGTTTATATTGGATCTGATCCGAACCGTGCCGTACGGCGATCGGCAATCGTCAGCTTGATTGAATCGTTGCCGATGGCAATCTTGAGGTCGAGGGAGCAGCTTTAATTTGGCGTTACCAAAGATGACACCGCGTCACGTGGGGCGTCAATCTCTAACAACACGAAGCGGTGTATGGGAGCAAGTTGGAAGTAAAGTCACCAACTGGAGGTGAATGCTGGGTGTAACCCATTGGCAGGCGGTCTTCTTTCTTTCGTACGGCTGATGTAGATTGCAGAGCAACAACTCCAATTTCACATTGAGGCGGTCAAGCCAGATAACGGCGCCAGAAGCAGAGGAGTGTATCATCGCCGTGATGTCTCCTTGGTATTTGTGGATCGGGCATTGCGCCGATGTTTGTATTTACGGTCTGTTCCTTCGCGATGATAAACTATAACAATGCAAATGTTAAACATCAAAAGATTAATGGTAATACTTCCTTTAACTTGGAACTCCTCCCTAAGAGTCTTATTTTTAGGACAGTTGTGCTTCGGGGATATTTGGCCTCCTCCTTCATCTTCGCTGGTGTTTTTGCAACGTGTGGCAAACGATATCTCAGAGACACGCTTACATACACCTTGGCACTCGGCATAGACAACTCTGCACACAACCTCCTTCCTGTACTGTGTGCTGTAGGCCAGGCCTCCTAAAACTGTGCATATCTACAAACTATACAGACTAGCTTAGTTTGTAGACACCGCCAGGATTAGTTTGTAGAATAAATGTAGATCATCTATAGAGCCCCATTGTTTCATTGATTTACGCTCGCTAACGAAGCAACGACACCAGGAGGCGACGCTGCTTTGTCTGGAAGATGCCCTCAAGGGACAGATGCATCATAGAACTGCGGAACTCGTCGAGTTCCCACTTGAGTATCGAGAAGTCCGACTCGACCGCCATCGTGTTGGCGAGCACCTCACTTGGCAGCAGGCAGGACGAGTCTCATGCGGGACTCGTGTCTCTGTGATCCACCTACCCCGACCGCCAAGTCACAAGCCGCCACTGCACAGGGGCAACATGGTGGACGCAAACATGTCAATTTGAAAGCTAAATTTGTCTAAACGTTAAATGTTTCACCGGTAATTTAACCGCATTGCTGGATGGCGGTCTACTGCAATCGCAGACGCTGCACCCCCACGACCCGCTGAAGGCACCTATAGGGGGTCGCGTTTTTTTTTACCATATTTCACCAGCGCTTAGTGCAGTTCGGTGAAGGTGGGGAGCGTAGAAGAACAATACAACGGTGCCCGACCGTCCACGCGCCGTCCTGGCTTGCGGCCAGAGCAGCCTCCGATCGGACGAGGATGGGGGCGGGGCGGGGGGGAGCGGCGGTTTCGGGCGATTTGTTCTGAGTAAGATTGAGCGCGAGATCACATCAACGACGACACCGGTGCCGTGAGAGACCATGCCGCGCCGTCGCACGCCGCCGCACTCGTCGCCCGTACCTGGCCACCGTGGCCGCCCTTCAGCCCCCCGCCGCCACCTCCACCGCGACCCTCCCACCAAACACACTCTCCCTGCTCGTCCTCTGACACCCGCCCCAACAGATCTACACGCATTCCGCACCCCCCCCCCCCCCTCTCCCGCACCCCAATAAACCCCCATATCGTGCTCACGTGAGCACGCAGCCCTCGCCCCATTAGGCATGCGCGGGCGCTTGCGCGTCGCAAGCGATTAAGCCGCGCGATGGGAGCAGATGTGCCGCCACATTAATTGAGCGTTTGCCGCGCTGCATCGTGGGAACACCCTGCCTGTGCCTGTTCCCACTGTGCCCAAGGCGGGTAACGCGAGGGTGGGGGGCCTTGGAGGTGGGGGGGGGGGTTTGAGGGCCAGGTCTTGAGGGCGCACGTGAGCTGTGGGCTCTGCTGGAGTGGGGCGTTGGAGGCTGGCGGCGGGGGGGGGTAGAGATGGCAGCAGGGATTAGAGAGAGAGAGAATGGGACTTGTGGTGGACTGTGCTGCTAGAGAGGAGACGACGCTGAGGCCCCATCGCGAGCGGGGAGCGCGCGTTCTTTCACGAACGGTGGAACGCGCCCTTGGCTGCTCTGTGCCCAGCGTCACGGCCGTTTGCTCGGTGTTTCCGACTCGTTCTTCTTCGCGCGATTTCTTCCTCACTTGGTTCCACATTTCGTGTGGTGCGCGGTTGGGTTGTGTAGACTAAATATATAATGTAGACTATTTTTATTTTACCAGGTAGGGCCCACTAAGCTCGATCTTTTTCAGAAACGACCTGGCCACAAACGAGAGCTCATTGCGTGGAAATGTACAGCAGCCAAATACGTG